TCTTAATTTAATTTAGTATTGATTAGTTATTGATTAATCCTTTATTTTTTATAACATATAAATAAATATTTTTACAGACAAAATATATAATGTTTGTTTTATTTTATGATGCATACTGATGGAAATACGTTTTGCTTGTTTGTGGTTTGATACTGTAAACGTAAAGCTTTTAACGTCGAATCCTATTGTGACGTCATCAAAGGCTTTCATACTTCATACCTTAATCCTTGTGACAGAACCTTTCATTAGATATCAAGAACTTTGACCTTGACCTTGGAGTTTTACCTACTCTTTAAAAACTTTAACCTTGGTCATAACTTTTGTACTGTTGGGGCTAGAGTTTTGATACTTAACTTACTAGTATGTAATACATGTGAGAAGAACTTTCTTAATAAACCAACAACTTTGACCTTGGAGTAAGAACTTATCCCTTTCAGTAACTTTTGAACAGGTGGTTTATGAGAAGACGCTACTTTGGGTTATAATGTATTTAATTTGCATTTAAGAAAAGTTCAATTTTTGCTTTGTTGCCATACGGGTCATCAGTGTTTCACAAACACATCTTGTTCCTTATACTGAGAATAGATAAGGCTTTTATATTTGACATGTGCATTACTTGTGACAAAATAATTTAATTTTAGTTGTAACTCGTCATTTGATTGGTTAAACGGTTTTATCCATTTTGTATAACATAACTTGCCTACGTCACAATGAGTTACGTCAAAAACGTATTAATCCGCTTGACGTTAACTTTTAAAATATGCTATATTTGAAGTCTTTTTCCGAAGGAAAAAATGGAAATATTGTCTCATTGTCTGTACATTGAAATTAAATTATAAGGAATGAAGCTTATTTCAACTCATGTTATCCGATATAACAAAAGAAAAGTTTAATCTTTGCTTTGTTTTATAAACCGCTTCGCGGTTTATAAACGTACAACTGTTCCAAGTTATATTATAAGAGATAAGGCTTTTATATTTGAAAAAGCTTCATTTGTGACAAAATATTTCCAAGGATGCTTTGACCCCTTGACCTTGACGACTGACCTTTTTTTTTTTTAATTAACTCCAGTGATAATTTTTAAATGACATTTGATAGCGTGTCATATCTGACATAATATGTCATTTAAAGAAATGATATCTCACACACAAAGACACCGAAAGCGGGGGACCACAATTCTTTGAATTTGCTTGTTTAGACTTACTTCCGATTTATTACTATTAGCATGTAAATGTAGAATGTGTCCTTATTTATGCACTTGAGTTTTGGTAAGAGTTATATCCCTTTATTTTTCATTAATAAAAAATCAATTTTAAGAATTTTATCTGGTAAAAAAAATCTTTTTAATTGTCATTCTATTTTTAATGTTTAAATGCATCTTTCCACAACAGTATTTTATGATATTCGTATTATTTCTACTATAAAATGCTTTAATTTAAAATCAGAGTATTATGTACTTAATGGACAATTAAGGGTAGAGAATTTGGTCTATTAGGGATGGAAATCCTTAAAGTGTTGTAAATTTATAACGCTGTTCTGCAGAATGTTATGTACATTGTCTTGGTTCAGATAAAATTCTATTTTTTCCCGATGTGTTTATTAGTTTGGTTCGATGGGGTTTTCAGTCACAGACATAGTTTTGTCTCTACTATGGATTCTACCTTACCAATATTCCCCCAAGAAGCAATATAAAACGAAACGAGAGGGCATTTAGCACTTCAACATTGACGCCAAAATTATTTCTTTAAAAAAACTAAATTGACAAAAACTGCAACAACACAGTGCGTTAAAACAGTGCAGGGAGTACAGAACACAGCTTCTCTAACAATTATAGGTTCATTCTCTCATGAAGGGAAACAGTTTCAGTTTTTTTTTATTATTGTAATCAGTGCAATGTGTTATGTAAATAGGTGCAATACCATTGAGTGACTGAGGGCGCACAGTGCCTCTACGGGAGAAAAATACTGCCCCCTGGTGGATGTAATGATTTACATCATGTCAAAGGCAGGGAATCTTTATCTCAAAACTCTTTCTTTGATTTGACAACTTAGATGAACAATGAATGCATTCTTTTTTGCCAATTTGCAACTTAATCCTAAAATACAGAATACAATGAAGTAAAAAAGATTATTCTTAAGTCTCAGACTTTTAAAATTAAATTAAAAAAAAAAAACAAATTTCGCAAAGCATAGTACCAGACCCATCGATAAATATTTGTCAATAGCTATTTGTCACATTATTTGCTTGTCTAGGCAAATCCGAAAGAAAGGAGGGGGTAGTATTTTTTAATAAGTCAACTGAATAATTCATTCGTATTTTGCTATATTCTTTCACTTTTTGGCTGGTACGATTTTAACTTAGTGCACGATTATGCACATTGTTTCTAAATAGCATACACAGTTTTTTTTTTTGTTTTTTTTTTTTGCAGAAAAAGACATTATTTGATGCATCGTCCTCTACAAAAATTTGAATTTTTCAATTAAAATTTGTTTATGACTATTATTGTCATATATAAATTTTAATTGAAAAATTCAAATTTTTGTACAGGACAGCATGCACACCAGATATTCTTATACTGTTGTTATTACCTGACTTATATTTTTCATTTTGAATCGTTTTTTGATTTTTTTCCTTGCTTTTGCATGTCGCGCTAGAGGACCCCTGACACTGGGGCCAAACATTTCACAATGTCGTAAAAGGCAGTTTTTTCTCATCAGAGGAATAGAATCACACCCTTACACCAGAACCTCTGACCCTGGGGCCATGAAATTTATAAATTTGAATGAAGCACCCTTGCTTCATCATAACCAAGCACTTACTAGATGTTTATTTTAATGATATTAAGGAGGAGAAAAGAAGACTTTCAAAGAATTATACATTTTCACTTTATAATCAATGAAGCCACGCCCTAACACCAAAGCCCCTGACTAAGGGACTATGAGATTCCCAATTTTGGAAGAGGCACCCGTGCTCTTCATAACTAAGCATTTAGTTTATCACCTTAATATTTGAGCACAGGAGAAGATTTTCAAAGAACTATTACATTTTCACAAGCCTTAATCTATAAGCAAAAAATCTACTAACATTACAAATCTATGAAGAAGGCATTAACACGGATTCTGGAAATTCAAGAGATGGGATCAAGTAAGCAGTCCCTATAAACCAGTCACACCCGCCGTCAGTCATAGTATTGAACAAATAGATGGGACATTCCATAGTCATATTCAGTATATGCTATATATATGTGTTTTTATTTGTCATCATTGTTGTTTACATTTATATCTAGCTATAAAATTGTGAAGAGATCAATAAATTCAGTTCAGTTCAGTATATACCAAAAGCCTAAAAATTGGTATAAAACAAGTCATCCAATTACGACCCAGTGATAGGTCATAGTTGCTAACAAGGCTATAATAATCATCATAGAATTTTAGAAATGCCGACTTTAAACGAGGTTTTGAAATCCCTGTAAAATCAACTTATCAGTGAGTAGCATGCCCTGTAAAATCAACTTATCAGTGAGTAGCATGCATCTCTTAAAATTGATCGTTTTCAGAGCAATCTCTTGGGTAGCGAAAAGGTTGGGAGATATAAACACCAAAAGTAGGTGACAGTGGAATATTCCTATTTCTACATGAATGAGGAAATTTTTTTCAAGTTTTTTTTTTTTTTCAAAAATGATCGTTGAATGACAAATATATGTGGCATGTCTTCAGAAAAATGATATGAATATGAGGCATGAATTTAATTTTTGAGAATTCATGAGGTACGTGAACTACAACGCTTCACACCTGCATATCTATATGGAAGTGCTAAGCTTTAACGCGCTTCATGAAATATGCAGGCGTGAAGCGTCGCAGTTCACATGTCCTCGTGAATTTCTCAAAAAATAAATTCATCGCTTAAAACGTTGATATCTGAATGTCGAATTAAAGGCCACAGCAAGCGTGTAGAAGTTTTTGAACACATTCTGCTGAATAAGAATATAAAAACAGGTGGGATAGTAAAAGAGCACAATTAGTGCCCATCGGAATTTAGAGTTTTTTAGAAAGCCTTACCCCAAGGATCATGAAACAGACTTAGACTTAAGTCAAATTTTCAATTGCATGTAATATGCTCATTGATTATTGAATTTATATCTAAATTTGCAGATAAAAGACTTTCGGAAAACAATGTGAAGAAATGTTTTGATTTAGGGGTGTATGACTTCTACAACATTTAAATACAAGATATTTTATTTTTACTTAAGCTTAAGATGTTTTGGATCCCGGGGCCTGGTTCCCAAGAGGAACTCCAGCATCCCTTTAATATCATCTTCAGAATATTTGTGTGAAGAATCAGAGTGATTTTTAACAAAGACTTTTTGATATACTTTGAATTACACTCCAATTCCTAAGAAACCTCTAAGCTAAAAGTGCTTGAAAAATTTAGATCTGGTGACCCTAAGTAGTGTTTAAAAAATGATTTGCCATAAAATTCAAAAAGTAATTCATAGTGACATTCTTTTTCGTTGACACAACCCGCGATGTAGCAGAAAAATGCTCTTTCAACAGACGAATATACACTTCATCATATTGGTTTTCTTATCGGAATTTGATTCAAGCCAGCCTCTCCCTCTTAAAAAATCCCTAATACACCTCCCTGTGAAATTGAAAAAAAAAATCTACTGCTGTAAAAATCTCTTATCGAAACTAAAAATTTATCCTATTCTATATATCATCTCCAATATCATGCAGCTTCCTCCAGCTATTTTCTGGTAAAGTTTACTTCATTCATGAATGCAAGAGAAAAAAATCGATCATATAAATGACTTATATTAAAAGAAACTATCACACCAGGATTATCAAAGAAATGTCGCAGACTCCTTGGGCTGATCTTGGAAGAGGGCTGTATCGCTCGGCTAAATCTGTATAGCTCTGTATAAATTTATACGCCTATCATACTTCCTAAATTAAAATTAGATACTTATAAACCTTCGGCAGATCAACAAATATACTCACATTTTGATTTTCGGGTTGTTTCGTCTGCTGGTTGGAATTTTCGCTTAAGAAGCCGCGTACTCACACTGACTTGAGCATCTTATATAACGGGAGCCTTATCGACTCAGTGTTAGCGCCGCCCAGATAGAAGGCCGCAGACTCAGGAAATCAATCCGGAATTGGACCGTGTATCTGCTTCAAACTTATCATTGTTAAACTGTATGGGTTTAATTTAATGTCATTATAAAGGGCATTTCAATTGACCTTCCTTATTTCTTTAAGGACTTCTTCCGTACGTCTGCATTACTAGTTCTTAAAAGGAGATGGATGAACTTAGCGTGCAGAAAGCCCACTAGCTTCAGATATATAAAAATTATATTCAAATTGTGAATTAAGTATTTAGAGTAAAGTTCTCATCATTGATTTTTATGAAATCATGATAAACAAAAAGTTTTGAGGAAAATTTTTCGTTAAATTTATTCTTTTATAAAAGAAAAAAATAATATGGTATCCATTGGGTTCGAACCCTGGTAATAAAAATCCTGAGTTGCATTCTCTACTGAGACTAGCACGCTAACCACTACGCAACACAAGTCCTGATGAGGAGTGGCATTTAAATCATATGTGTGATATGACGATTGACTTAAGGGACTTCAAGTATTTCTTGAAAATATACGAAAGTTATGTCATAAAATTATATTTTAAAGGTATAGTGGGTCTTTGCTCCATAATTTTGGAAACCAAAATATGTATGTTTGTATGAAAACTTTGAGGATAAACTTTCAAAAAAATGGAGAGAAGACCCACTCATATCGAAAAATAGTGTTTTTGTGTGAAAAATGACTCGTTTTTTCCTCTTTCGTGTGTGTATAATATTTCATAGGCAAATAACTTCAATCTTCATGAGATTTGTGCAAGTTGTAGAGATTTTACATAAAGTATACTTTAGTTAAGGAATAACTGTCTTATTTTTCGAATTCATGAAGTGATCAATGGATTGGCTTGTGTGATAATTTGCATAAACGCCGAAGGCGTTTATGCATAAAATTATCACACAAGCCAATCCATTGATCATCTTCATGAATTCGAAAAATCTGACAGTTATTCCTTATATTTACATGCTTTGATTCCGCCAATCCACGGGCTCCAAGCCTGCTTCTCTTTAGGTGTTGTCCCGCCCTGCACGTGGTTTTTTTTGGAACCGTGCCAAAACATTCATGAGGAAATCAATTACATTTACAATTGGTAATTTTATCTCGGACAAAGACATTGGAAATGTAAATATTGTTAGATGAAATATTAAGGAAAATTTTGATATATACTGAAAGGAAAAAGAAACGCAGGGTAAACTTCTGAGGTGAATTAGATATGTTTTTCTTTAAATATGTTTTAGTTTTTATATCTAACTTTTAAAATCATCTTTCAAAAAGATATAACCAAATTCCCATTTGATTTTGTCTAATAATTCATGAGTTACTGAAGCTCAAATGACGATACCCCCAAAACGTGAAAATCGAAAACTCTCATTATCTTCAATGTCTCTCCCGTGCATCTGTCAGAGCCTTATTTCTCCTTTGCTTGGAATTTCATTAGAGTGTTTATTTTTCAGACCCTGGCTATATTTGGCATGGGTAACAATGTAAAAACATAAGTAAAACGGCGCGCGCATGCACCAGTGAGAGGAATAAAACAGTAAGTTGACTGGCTCAAAAAATTAAATTGCGGAATTGTTTTCTTTCAAATTTCGTATGAATGTAATGATTATAATCGTCTACTGTATAAATGGCTGTTTTTGTGGTAGTAAGGTGGCGATTTAAGAGATGGCAGGACGAATAACCAGCTCGTAACATGGCTCTATTTCGCGTTAACGTCATTGTCACGGTTGATTGAAGACCATTGCAGACCCTCTTTGACAACGGGTTACAAATTTTATGGGGGAAAATTTGCAAGAAACTGCTTAATAAACCGTTGTTGCCTTTTTCATTAATTAGGCAATTCGAAAAAAAGACCCCATTGAACTTCCATAAACTGTGCCAAGATTGCAAGAAATTCATAATGTCTCTTTATATTGAAAAACGATGTGCATACCTCATATGCATCAAATAATGCAACAAGATTTGCTGACAAACTCGTCGTTATAAAATTGCACGTGTTTTAGGCTTTTTAGCGTTTTCCCTACGTGACGTCATAAATTTTACGGTTGAGTAAATCTGAATACTGATTTTGGTGCACAGTAACTAAATTTCTCTTCTGACCAATTTTCGTAATTTTCGGTCATGTGGTCAAAGTGTTTTCAAACATTATGCTACCCTGCGTTTCTTTTTCCTTTCAGTATAGTTGAGATTTAATTTTTCACCTTCATGTTTGTTGCGCTATGGGCGTATCTCTCGTCATGTTCACCCATCTCCTTACATGTGTACTAGTACACTATAAAAAAAAATAACAAGTTAATGTCACGAAGAAAACTAGTAGATTCACTGTCCATACAATTACTACCTTAATAGTAGTTTTACCAGATATTGGTATATTTACTAGATAAGATTAGTAAATTTAGAATTGATGAGTAACTTTCACTAGGTATCTAATACCCCATTCATACGACATGATTTGCATACCTCAGTATATTTTACACATGAGCAAATTTACTCACATGTGCAATTTTTGTCGTATGAACTGATATACTCATATGCAAATTCTGCACAGTTGAGTAAATTTACACCTGGTCAGGACTAGGTGCAAATTAACTTTTGCATACACTTTGTAGCAAATTATTAGTTCATGTGTGTAAATTGTGTCGTATGAACACGCAAATTTATTTATGTATGTATTTTGTTTTGTTTATTTTATAAATTTCCATTTCAAGTGTTGTTTCGATTGTGTATGCATTGGCGTGTAAAATACCAGTCTGTAAACATGGTGGCTAGATTGATTGTATATTGTTTAACGTCCCTCTCGAGAATTTTTCACTCATCACTTGCCGGTGGAGAGCTGCAAATTTTGTCCTATACTCGGCACTCAGGGCCATTGAGCAGGGAGAGGTCTTTTTCATGCCAGCACTTACTGCGACACGGGACCTCGGTTTATATACGGTCTCATCCGAAGGACCGGTCTCCACGTCCAACAATGGGATTCGAACCCACGACGTAAGGATCAACTCCTTACTTCGCGACACTATAGCAGACGCTTTAACCACTGCGCCACGTGGGTGACTTGGTGGCTAGAAAGCAAAACTATTAAGCAAGGAGCCATTATCCCCTCTGAGATAAATTTTCGAATTTGCAAAAACGAGGGCATCTTGCACCCTTTACTGGCAAATCCATGTTTATGTCTCTAAAGATATAGCTGTGGTCGCAAACAAGTGCCCTGTAGGATCAATGAGTTGTGTCATTACTATTCCAGTTCTCTTCTTGGGAATGTTCCGGAGCAATGATAGGAACATGCATTCCATTAATCGCTCGTGCCCCATTATCGTGTAGCTCTTGATGACTTTCTTCTATCTTTCTCTGTATTTAATTCAGGCAAGCTACTCATTTAAAAGTTAATGTTTCAGGAATTTCAATTAACTAGTAAAAATAAGCATTCGTAAGTAACCTCCTTGGCACCTGATCTCATCATGAATGTCCAGGGGCTCATGTTAATTTCCTTTGAACATATTTGTATTGTTCAAAGATTTTTGAGATCGATCATTGTTAGATTTTTTTCATCCTTTTCATTATAATGAAAAAAAATTATTATTATATAATATTCAAGCAGATGTTTTATAATGGCCTCACACACTTGATGTACTGTAGATTTCCCAACAGCAAACAAATTTTTAAATGGTCATATTTCTGCCGAAAGCGTCAACTAGTAGATGGCAAGTTCCGTTTTCTTTACACCCAATGGCTCTTCTCCAATCTTTGGGACGGAAGCCAAAACATTTTCCAACAATAAAGCAATATATGAGCTGTGTTTTTGAGAAAATTATTTTGCTATTAAAATGTGTTATTATGATTAATTTGTATATAATTTAAACCCTTATGATAAAACCAAATTAAAAGTTTTAAAATATTTCAGAAGAAATGTTTCTGTACAGTCGAATATATAGCATTATATAAGAAATCAATAATGCACAGGACGACAATCATGTCATTTTGCTTCAATTAAAGCTTATAAAAAGTTCTTCCATCGCAAATATGAACAACTGTAGTTTATAAATGTTAAATGTTCTATTTTTCTATCATTGAAAAAGGTGACTACAAATTTGCAACAAAATTTTGCCATTTCAATCTTGCAGCTCATATTGATAATTTTAGTAAGTTTTCCTTCTTCGTGTTTGTATTCTTATACCATTATTTTTCCTTAAAATCATTAATTAAGTTGTACCAAGAAATCAGTCTTATACCCAAACAATAAGGAAATACCCCTTTTCTCTAAAAATCACAAATGTGAATCTGTCCATCTCCTTAGTTTATATGAAAATATGAGGATTTACTTACAGCACATAAGTCTCGTCTGAACGCATAGCAAATTAACTTTTACTTACGTGTGTAGATTTACTTGTATGTAATTTTGCACACATAAGTAAATTTCCGTCGTATGAATGGGGTATAAGTATCTATACGACCCCCGCTCCACAACTCACTATCTTAACCACGACCAACACGACCAACGCTTTACGAAACACACTAGTTAAATTCACTAGGTTTTTCTTTCAGTGTAATTTTTTAGAAAATTAGTTAAGATCCGTCATTAAATTTAGCTTTTTAAGTGTACATGTATGTGTCTTGCAGTTACATTTTTTATTTGAACAGTGTATTGAACTTCGAAGCATAAAATGTAATACAAGATTTTTTTAAAATAAAAAAGCAATATTTTTATAACATTAGAGGTGAGTTTTACACAGAGGTTCTCACCATACAAGGGAAGTTGTGTTCTTTTGACCTCCGTAGTAATGCAAACATTAGAGCGCATATAATTAAATTCAGGCTGTTAGAAAGGACTGTCAGTTGGGGTACAAAACTTTCCAGTGGGGTAACGATCAAACAAACACACAAAAAGGTCATCGGACGGTAGTACTGAGGAGTCACAAACATAAAGTATAATATGTACCGATACCAAGGTGTTTCTATTATTATAGGCAATGCCCCAAAATAACCCCCCACCCCCATCCCATGATGTTTTTCAAGCAATTTTAAGTACAGATCATTTTATATACATTATCATACAAAACAG